CTAATTCTTGATAAAGGGGAAAGATGGTGCAGCAGCAGAAGAGGAGGAAGAGGAGGAAGAAGGGAGGGAGGAGGAAGGGAGGGGAGGGAGGGAGGAGGAAAGAAAAGCTACACAAACACCACACTGTCACCACCACCACAACAAAAACACATTTACGTAAAGTTAAATCTAGGGGAGTTTGGCAAAGAAGAATTCCATCCCTACAGACACTGGAAATGAACAAAAATAATATATTTTATCTCTTTACGCTTTAAATTAGGCATTAAATTTTAAGGACAATTAGACAAATAGGACTTAGTCCCCAGAAAATGCATTTAATTATAAGAGAAAGCCTTATAAGAACTGCTGGCATGTATTGTTGGACCCCCAGTCCGGGGTACCCAACGTCCATGGGAGACCGCACCCCAATAACTCAGTCCTCAGACAAGGAGATGCAACAAGCAAGAGGATTTATTGCGTCTGGCCAGACCGGCTTCTGCCTCACTCCGAGAGGAGAAGCCCCGGTCTCCGCTTACAAGCTACTTTTAAAGGTAAAAACCACAAGCTGTTCCTAAGCAACCACGACCCATAAGAGGTTCCTAAGCCAAGAGAAGAGGGAGCAGGAGGGGGATTTGGGAGGGGGAAGTTTCAGGTGATTTCCATTTCAGCTTGGGCCAGGTGCATACGAATGAAAATTCTTTCTCAGCAGCTCAGAATTGTTTTTCATTTTACTTCCTTGTACAATTCTTTGGCCTGGGGGACTTATTTCCTTGTCTTTTGTCTAGGGGGACTGAGTTAGGGTCCTTCATTCCCCCCTTTTCTTATGGTAAGATTTTAATCTTAAAATCTAGAGACCCTCTGTTCTTTTTAGAGTATGATATTGCTGAGTAAGGACTAAGGCCTGAGTCACCAATAGTCGGTCCCTGATAAATTGTAACAGTCTGTTGAGGATGCATGCTCCGAAAGTTAAAAGAAGGAGAAGAATTACTAGGGGGCCTATTAGGGTGGACACTAAGGTGGTTAACCAGGGGCTTTTATTAAACCAGCCTTCAAACCATCCCTGTTTGGATTCACGTTCTTTTTGTCTTTTATCTAATCTCTGGCGGAGTTTAGTCATAGAATCTCTAATAACCCCTGAGCTGTCAGCATAGAAGCAACATTCTTCTCCTAGGGCTACACAGAGTCCTCCTTCCTTGAGGAAAAGCAGATCTAGCCCCCTTCTATTCTGTAATACTACTTCTGAGAGGGAGGTTAGAGATTTTTCCAAGAGAGTAATTGACTGTTCTATTGCCCTAATGTCTTCATCTACAGCCATCTGTAAATCTGCATAGTATTGTGGTCCTTGTATTAGGGCCACAGTTCCAGTTCCTACCCCCACCGCCACCCCTGCTCCTAGAAGTATTGCTAGGGTTAGGGACACAAGCTCTCTTTTATATCTGCCTGGGTGTTGCTCGAAAAAATGTTCTGTGGAATCTGCGGGGTGATAGAATACTCGGGGTAGAAGCTTAATCATGACACAGTAGTCTTGAGAGGTTTTAAGGATCATACTAGCTACACAGGGAGTTAACCCAGAGTTACATGCCCACCAAGCCCCTTGTGGAGGTAGGAGATAATAATTCCCTTCTCCTTGGGGTACAGAAATAGTGGAGCTGCAAAGGTGGGCATGAGTTGGAGGTGGGTTTCCTAAACAGAGCCCAGATCCAGAGACTTCTGTGAGGGTTAGGGGGTGTGGGGTCTCTCTATGACATTCGTCGGCTGAGGTGGTGTTATTAAATGTCCCTTGTGTAGCTATGCCTTCATAATAAGGGGGTGCTGCTGCTAAACATAGCCAACAGGATTCAGTCAGGTTGGGGTTTGTCTGTCTAATAGCCTTATATGCTCCTTGAATTAAATTGAACTGCTGGTCCCCCGTGGGCGAAACTTTTTGACTCGGGGGGCTGAAGGTCTGTTTTAACAGAACATGAGCGGGGGAAGTGCCAGAAAAAGGGTTTGGGAGGTGCTGTAAGATGACTTCAGGCATTAAGGCTGGCGGGGGATTTGATTTCGATGGTGTGGGTTTTGGGTAGTTGGGGATGGGATTTTGGATAGGTAAGACGGGGTTGGGGCCTATGGCTATTGAAGAGAAGGAGATGTCTCTTTTAATAGTAAACAAGAGGCCAGGATCTGTCCCATCCTTGTATATCCTAATTCCCCACGAATGCCCCTTTTCCCAATCTGTGGCCTTCTTTCCTGCTGCTGTGAATTCTACCCGTAGGGGGTTGCACCATTTACCTTGACAGTCCTGATGGGGAACATTTGGGATCTTATGGGAATAATTTGCTTTTACAGTGATGTAATGCCAAGATGAGGATGGGGACCACCCGGTGTCTCCGGTTGTTTCGCATCCCCAGTTTTTACAGTAAAAATAGTCCCTCTCTCCACATTGGGAATTAAGTCGCTTATCCCGATGGTTACCTGGGCAAACATACAAGGTTCACAGGCGCAACTTGGTTCATTGTACTTCACCATGACACCCTCCCCATGCTAAGTGGGGCCTTCCAAACAGGGGGTAAGCTTCTGGGCCAGGTAGTTTATCAGGATCCATGAGGTCGGGTATGTCCCAGGGCACTGGTGCTCCTAAAGCTAATTTACACAAATCTGGATACCGTATAGGCCACCAAGTACCCTTGGGGGCCATCTTGTGGGTTTCAAACACTACAATACCCATTTGATTAATTACCCACCAGGTAGTCAGCATAGGGAGATGGGGGCTTCCTTGACTGGGGACAAGCCTACAAACAAGCAGAATCATTAGGTATCTCTGGAAAGTCTTATTTTTAGAGGGTTGGATGTCTTGTGTAGATGCCATTTTCCAGCGTCCTCCTGGGCCGGAGCTCTCTTGGCGTGGGAAGTGTGGATCCAGGCTGAAATTCCGTCTACTTTGAGTGCTGTGGGCGTAGTCAGGAGAACCATGTAGGGTCCTTTCCACCGTGGCTCAAGAGTCTTTGAGTTGTGTCTTCTCACGTACACCTGGTCTCCGATTTGGTAGGAGTAGGGTGTCTGTGGACTCCCAGGCCAGTAGACAGCAGCCAAGGGTTTCCAGACCTGGTTCTGGATAATCTGGAGGGCTTGAAGTCTTGTTTTTAAGCTGGGATTGTCAAAAGAAGAGGGCAGGAGAGTCAAAGTTATATTAAGGATAGGAGGGGGTCGCCCAAAGAGGATTTCGTAGGGGGTCAGGCCATGCATAGCAGGAGTATTTCTAGCTCGAAACAGAGCTAGAGGTAGGAGCTGTACCCAGTCTTTAGTGCCAGTCTCCAAAGCTAATTTTGTTAAGGTCTCTTTAATAGTTCTATTCATTCTCTCTACCTGCCCTGAACTTTGGGGTCTGTAAGCACAATGCAATTTCCAATTGATCCCCAATGCTTTGGCCACTCCCTGACTTACCTGGGAGACGAAGGCTGGGTCATTATCAGATCTAATTACCTTAGGCAGTCCGAATTGAGGGAAGATTTCTCCGATTAGTTTCTTCACCACAGTCTGGGCTATTTCCTTCTGGGTGGGGAAAGCCTCAACCCACCCTGAAAAAGTGTCTGTAAACACTAAAAGATATTTATAACCATATTTTCCTGGAAGTACCTCAGTAAAATCTACTTCCCAATTTGTCCCTGGTCTTTCCCCTCTCTCTCTCCTGCCAGAGGGGCCCTTTGATCTGGAAGCATTTACCAGGGAACATGAGACACAATCTCCCACTACCTTTTGGACCATCTGGTTGAGGTCTGGGAAATAATAATGTTGTTCTTCTCTTTTTAATAGTGTCTTTAGTTTCTTATGTCCCAGATGCGTCCACTGGTGGAGTTGGTCGATTAGTTCAAGGGCTGCCTTTTGGGGCAGCACGACCCGATCCTGATACCTCCACATTTTGGACTCTGGATCCAAGGTAGCATTGAGCTTCTGGACGATTTCCAGATCTTGTTCAGTGTAAGTGAAGAGAGCATCTCCCTCTCTTGTTTGTCTCTCAATTTCAGCCTGTAGATCTGAATGGGTGTAGAGGATATGAGCGTTTTCTGCTGCCTGGCTGGCAGCTTCATCTGCCATTCGGTTGCCCTGGGCAATTGGTCCCTGGCCCCACTGATGTCCAGGACAGTGGATGATGCTTACCTTTTTAGGCAGGTACAAGGCTTGAAGAAGGGCCACTATATCTTCCTTGTTTTTAATGTCCTTACCAGCTGAGGTGAGAAGTCCCCGCCTCCGGTAAATTTCCCCATGTATGTGGGCTGTGGCAAACGCATAGTGGCTGTCGGTGTAAATGTTGACCTTTTTTCCCTTTGCTAATTTTAGGGCCTGGGTTAGGTTTCTAATTCAGCCCACTGGGCTGAAGTTCTGGCTGGCAGGGTTTGGGCCCAGATTACCTTTTCCCCATCAACCACCGCCACCCCTGCCTTGCACTCACCGTCTCTCAGGAAACGGCTTCCATCCGTATACCAAGTGGCATCTGCATCGATTAGGGGCTGGTCAGTGAGGTCTTCTCTAGTCCCATGCGTCTCTGCAAGTATTTGCTGGCAGTCATGGGGAATGTCAGTGCTTTTCTCGGGAGCTGGTAGCAGCGTGGCAGGGTTTAAGGTGCTCGGGCTACCAAACTTAATCTTTTCTGGATTTAATAGTAGTGCCTGGTAATGGGTTACCCTGGCATTGGACAGCCATCTGTCCGGGGGCTGTCTAATGATGGACTCCACCGCATGTGGTGTTATAATGGTTAGAGGCTGACCCATGGTAAGTTTGTCTAAGTCTTTTACCAGGGACGCTATAGCTGCCATGATTCTCAAGCATGGGGGCCAGCCAGCGGCTACATTGTCCAGTCTTTTTGAGAGATAAGCCACTGGCCTTTTCCAGGGTCCCAAAGTCTGAGTAAGAACTCCTTTTGCCATTCCTTTATTTTCATCTATATATAAGATGAAAGGTTTTGTCAAATCTGGCAATCCTAAAGCTGGAGCTGTCAGCAGCGCTCTTTTTATTTTGTCAAAAGCTCTCTGGTGTTCTTCAGTCCAGACGAAAGGGGTCCCATTCTTTGTTAAAGGATATAGAGGAGCTGCTATTTCAGCAAAGCCCGGTATCCATAATCTACAGAATCTTGCACTTCCCAAGAACTCTCTGAGTCCTCTGGCTGAGGTTGGTGGGGGGATGGAGGCTACCACTTGTTTCCTGCTGTCCATTAGCCAGCGTTGCCCTCCCTCCAACCGGTAGCCCAAATAGTTTACCTGCTGTAGACAGATCTGGGCTTTCTTTGCCGAGGCCCGATACCCAAGTTCCCCCAGTCTCAATAGGAGAGCCTCCGTACCTTGCAGACAGCCAGCTTCTGACTCTGCTGCTAAGAGGAGGTCATCCACATACTGAAGAAGCATAACCTGTGGGTTTCTTACCCGAAAGTCAGCCAAACCACGATGTAAAGCTTCATCAAACAGAGTAGGGGAGGTCTTGAATCCTTGGGGGAGTCGCGTCCAGGTTAGTTGCCCCAATATTCCAGCTTCAGGGTCCTTCCATTCAAATGCGAAGATGGGCTGGCTAACCAGACTCAGTCTTAGACAGAAGAACGCATCCTTCAGGTCAAGTACAGTATACCATCTGTGACTGGGAGGCAAAGAACTCAGGAGATTGTAAGGATTTGGAACAGTGGGGTGGATATCTTCTATTCTGTGATTGACTTCTCTTAGGTCTTGAACCGGTCAATAGTCATTTGTTCCCGGCTTTCTTATGGGGAGCAGTGGGGTGTTCCAAGGGGACTGACAGGGGCGGAGTATGCCTATTTGTAAAAGTCTTTGAATGTGGAGTCTAATTCCCTTTCAGGCCTCTCTGCTCATAGGATACTGCTTGATTGAAACCGGGATTGCAGATGGTTTCAGAGTAACCACTATTGGAGGCTGATTGAATGCCAGTCCCGGGCCTCCTGTCTCAGCCCATGCTGAGGGGAATTTAATTAACCAGTCAGATATATCAGGAGTCTCTGCTATTGGTTCTTCATATAACCGATGTTCATCTTCCAGTCGCAGGGTTAACACTTGTAGTGGAGCCCCATCTTTTCCTTTTAAAGTAGCTCCCTTTGTAGTGAAATGGATGTGGGCTCCCAGCTTAGAGAGTAAATCTCTCCCAAGAAGGGGATATGGACAGTCGGGGACCAGCAAGAATGAGTGGGAGACCTGTCCTGTACTGAGGTCCACTTTTCTTTCTGTGGTCCACCTATACAGTTTTCCTCTGGTGGCCCCTTGGACCCAGGCTGTTTTGGAACTCATGGGTCCCTCGGTTATTGTCAAGACTGAGTGTTGAGCTCCTGTGTCTACCATGAAGGTAGTCAATTGCCCCCCTATCTTTAAAGTTACCCTGGGCTCAGGGGGGAGATCCTGGCCTCGAGTCCCCTAGTCCCCTAGAGCCAGGACTGGGGTTGTCTTCTTTTGTCTGTTCAGCCTCTTCGGACATTCTCGAGCCCAATGTCCTTTTTCTTTGCAATAGGCACACTGGTCTTTATCTACTTGGGGTCTTCTTTTGTCTCCCAGGTCCCTACCTGGTCCTGTTCCCTGCACTACTGTGGCCAAAATTCGACTTAACTCTTTATTTCTCTTCGTCTCTCTCTTATCTTCTCTGGCTTTCTGTTTTTTTTTTTTTTTTAATTCTATTCTCTCTCTCTTCTAATGTCTCACACTTATTGTAAATTTTCTCAGCTTCTTTTATTAAATTTTGTAAGGAGTACCCCTGAAGGCCTTCTAGCTGGACTGGTCTTTATCTACTTGAGGTCTTTTTTTGTCTCCCAGGTCCCTACCTGGCCCTGTTCCCTGGACTACTGTGGCCAAAATTCGACTTAACTCTTTATTTCTCTTCTTTTCTCTCTTATCTTCTCTAGCTTCCTGTTCTTTTCTAATTCTATCTTCTCTCTCTTCTAATGTCTCACGCTTATTATAAATTTTTTCAGCTTCTCTTACTAAATCCTGTAAGGAGTACCCCTGAAGGCCTTCTAGCTGTTGAAGCTTACCATGAATGTCAGGAGCAGATTGCCCTATGAAGGCCATAATAAGGTCCGCCTGATGCTCCTGAGCTGTGGGATCAAAAGGGGTGTACATCCTATATCCCTCTATGAGGTACTCTAGAAACCCTGCGGGGGTTTCATTTTCCCCCTGTGTTATAGCACGTACCTTTGCCAAATTGGTTGGGCACCTTCCGGCCCTTTTGAGACCCGCTATTAGAGTCTGGTGATAAAGACGGAGACGCTCCCTACTGGCCATGGTCTCGTGGTTCCAGTTGGGTCTGGTCAGAGGAAATCCTTCGTCTATTTCATTTGGGAGTTGGGTGGGCCTCCCATATTGCCTGGGGACATTTTTCCAGGCTTCTAGGATGACTCGTTGTCTCTCCTCTGTAGTTAAAAGTGCCTGGAGGAGTTGTTGGCAATCCTCCCAGGTGGGTTGATGGGTGAGGAGGATAGACTCTATTAAAGCAGTTAGAGCCTGAGGGTCCTGGGAAAAAGAGGGGTTATGGGTCTTCTAATTGTACAAATAAGAGGCTGAAAAAGGCCAGTACTGGATCTGATCCCCTACAGCTCAGAGGGGAAAAACCTGGGCAGTCCAGGTTCCATCAGAAGGGCCCCCTCTATTCCTTCTCAGGCAAAGTCTGCTAGACGGAGGGGGGGATTGGTCGGGTTCGGTAGAGTCAGGAGAAGGATGAGGTAGTTCTTGGGGTGGAGGTGCCTGCGCAGGAGAGGGATGAGGTAGTTCTTGGGGTGGAGGTGCTTGCGCAGGTGGATAGGGAGGTGGGGGATCAAGGAGGGTTAAGGAAGCTTAGTCCTCGGGGAGGACTGGCTTCTGTTTCTTCTTCTCAGAGGAAGACTGGAGGGGCAGGAGGGAGGAAGTGAGATTGGGGGGAACTGAAGGGGCAAGGGGCCCTTGATCAATCTCTCCAGTTCCCAGAGGAGATAGGAATGGCTGTGCCCAAGGGGTGGGGTTCTGGGCCAAGTCTTCCCAGGTGACTATATAGGCCACCTGGTCCGAGTGTCCATGTGGTCCTGGGTGGAAAATGTATTCCTTAACCTGTAAGATAGTAGCAAGGTCAAAAGTCCCATCCCTTGGCCATCCTTTTTCGAAAGAGGGCCACAAAGAGGAACAGAGATTCTGCCACTTCTTCTACTGAACCTCCACTGATAAGTTGCGGGCCCGCTCCACGACCTCCTTCCAGTATTCCAGAGTTAGGCTAAAAGGAGTAGTTAGCAAGTGACCCATGGTAAGAGTCACGAGAGAAAGAGAAAGGGAGAAAGAGAGGGAGAGAGGATGATTACAAGAGAGAGAGAGAGAAAATAAAGATGCCACTCCAAACAATAGTGACCAGTGATCATGCTTGTGGATGAGTACCTATTGTTGCTCAGTTTTACTTCTGCGGGGGATGTGAATTTATCAGGGATTCAAGTCTGGGACCCCCTTATCCTTCCACGGGAGACTTTTAGCGGCGAGCGCCCTATGGCTTTTATTTGCTTGACCCGTGTCCGTGGGGCTTTCTTAGTGGCGAGAGAGGAGGAGAAAAAAGGCTACAGAGGGGTCCTGTCTCCACCCATGCAGGCAGTCGGGGTCCATCAAGAGGGCTAGGAGCCTTCAGCTTATGCCAGGGGGTAGCCCTGGCCAGAAAGCCTCAATTACTCTTTTGCTATTAACAGACCCACATGAAGACTTAGACCAAGAATAAGGAGAAACACAAAGGGAGAGGATACTTTAGAATAGAGAGCATAGGAGAAAATACAGAATTAGGCCCCTGCCTAGAATGAGTAGGACCAGAAGTGCCACACATGCACACCACCTCTCCTTGCATTCACTTGGACCGGTCCTTCTTTCACTCAAACGCACTCTGTACTCACACTTTTAAGACAAACACAAAACAAAAATCCTTGCTGTGCGCTTCTTGACTCAGAAAATGAAAATACAGACTGGGAGGGGACCAGCCAAGCCAGTCCCTCCTCCCAGGGTGAGCAAAGCTATGCTGTCCTCCCCTCTCCAGATCACTCTGGTCACTGAGGCCAGAGTGGTGGAACCAGGGGTCTCTGGGCACGTCTGCCACTCCCGCTGGTTCCCAGAATACAGACTTACAGGTCCTGTACAGGCACAATTATTCAGACAGAATGTTCCCAGAACAGGAAATGACTGACAGACATTAACAAGACAAATCACAAGACGTCCGTTCTTACCTCCTACTGATCCAAGGAAATGGGTCTGGGGGCAGCTGAATCCCAGACGAGCTCCCAAGTGTTGGACCCCCAGTCTGGGGTACCCAACGTCCATGGGAGACCGCACCCCAATAACTCAGTCCTCAGACAAGGAGATGCAACAAGCAAGAGGATTTATTGCGTCTGGCCAGACCAGCTTCTGCCTCACTAGGAGAGAAGCCCCGGGCTCCCTTACAAGCTACTTTTAAAGGTAAAAACCACAAGCTGTTCCTAAGCAACCATGACCCATAAGCGGTTCCTAAGCCAAGAGAAGCGGGAGCAGGAGGGGTATTTGGGAGGGGAAAGTTTCAGGTGATTTCCATTTCAGTTTGGGCCAGGTGCATACAAAGGAAAATTCTTTCTCAGCAGCTCAGAATTGTTTTTCATTTTACTTCTTTGTACAATTCTTTGGCCTGGGGGACTTATTTCCTTGTCTTTTGTCTAGGGGGACTGAGTTAGGGTCCTTCAGTATGAGTTCTATGGATTCCAGAGAAAACTCCACACAAAGTTTATCCCCAGGACCTCAAAGTTTATCCCCAGGACCTCTACGGATGAGACTACAAAACTGATGTCAGAAAGAACAGGCTGTTTCAGAGGCTGCATTTAGCCGCATGTGGATGCAAGCAGGATGCTCAGTGAGGGACAGTGATCTCTAGGCTGGGGCCAGATTTGGGGTGACTTAGATGATGATTTGCAATTGTCTTTCTATTTTTTAAATGTATATCTTTATTGAATTTTTGTGCATTTCATACAAAACCTCTTATCTTTTTACCCCTCCCCCATTCTCACCCTCCTGTAGCCCCCGCCCAATGAATTTCATGCATTCTGTCATGTATGTTAAGGCCTATGGAGTCAGATTAGTGTACCCAGATGTCCCTCAGTGCAGGTTCATCCACTAGGGTCTAGTCAGCCTGTCTAGAGTCTCTCCCTTAAAGAGGGTCAACTCTCCCTCTTATTTTTTATTATCTTTTTGAGACACGGTCTCTCTGTCTCTCTGTAGCCCCAGCTGGCCCGGAACTCACTATGTAGACCAGGCTGGCCTTGAGCTCAGAGATCCACCTACCTCTGCTTCCAGAGTGCTGAACTAAAGGCGTGTGCCACCATGCCTGAAGCAAATGTCAGTCATTCCTGAGCAGGAAGGTGGCCCAATCAGAATTGTGCTTTACCTTAGACACCCTAGCCATGGAGAACATGGACAGACACAGAAGGAGGCAAGGTGAAAGATAGAAAATCCACCTAGCTCAGTAGTGCAGGCCAGAGCTGATGAAGGTCTGGACTGTGAGGGCTGAAAGATGCCATAGCTTTGGAGAGCTAGCCTACATCCCAGGGGTCTCAGGATTCCTCAGCGCTACAGAGGAAAGGAATGCAATGCCATCCAACCCAAACCAAATGTCTTTGACCTGGATGGGGTTTTGATGGGGGTCCTGCTTCCCCTTTTGGGTGGCCAGGAGAAGTCAGTCACTGCTCCAGGAGAGTCTAAATGACAGACCTGGGAAGCTAAGGTTGTACAGGCAAGATATTTGGAAATGCTATTTTTGCAGTTGTATTGAAAAGAATTCTGTCTGTAGAATTAAAAACATATGCCGGGTGTGGTGGTGCATGCCTGTAGTCCCAGCACTTGGGAGGCAGAGGCAGGCAGATCTCTGTGAGTTGAAGACCAGCAGTCTACGTAGTGAGTTCCAGGACAGCTGGGGCTACAGAAACACCCTGTCTCAAAAAGACCAAAAAAATAATAATAATAAAAATTTTAAAAAAAAGTCAAAAGGGTCCAAATTCTCAACTCCTCAGGAACGAAACTGACTCTAAGCTCTACTCTGGCTGCTATCTAAGTTTCTAGTCCAGTCTTACAGAGCAGCCCCCATATGCAGTTTTTGTAAAGCATTCCCTGCATGATTGCATTCTGTTTACAGAAGTCCTTCTCCACACAGCAGTTCTCTCTGGAAAAAACAATTCAGTCTTTAGGATAGTTCAGATGCCAGCCTCCTCTGAGAAGTGTCCTCAGCTCCTCAGCTGGCAGCTACAGTAACACATCATGATAACAAACACCCTGTGCATTTTGCACGTACAAGAAATGGCTACTGGGTTTTGTAATTCTAGTAATCAGCACAAGACCTGGCCTATAGGCACTTGATGAGTGTTTATGGAATGATGCCTTCCAAGAGATAGCTGAAAAGCGCTGGAAAGCATTGTCTAAGCATGATTAGCATGTTTATATTAATACTTCTACCAACTGAATTTTCATTTCAAAATTATTGGGCAATATTTTAGTAATTTTAAAATAATATAAGTTGATCAGACTACTTGCTTCAAATTCCTAGAATCATTTAGAAATAACCAATTGGGACATTAATAAGCTTTAAGCTAGCTTCCAATGCATCCCTTATTTATGAAGAAAGCAACATCAAGCATTCTTGAAAATTAACAGCATCATGGGAATGACCCAAATGCCACTTGGTTTTCAAGTGTTTGGGTTGCAACTCCACTGTGGTCCCTAGTAAGTAAGGCCTCGGGGGCCCATTATCTACATTAATATAGATGTAGATAATGTATCCTTAATGAGATTTTATGGGAAGAAATTGAGCTAGTGCTAATGGAAGTCTTTGGTGGGTTGAGTCATGCATCGTGGGGTTGCAGTGAGAGCTGTGCCAGGCTTGCTATTGTTAACCATGGAGGTGAGCAGTTTGGGTGTGTATGACTGAAAACCAATGGCCACTTTTGTCATTAAACTAAAG